ACCCCCCCCCCCCCCCCCTCATTTTTAGTGGGTCAGTCATGCGGGAAACAGCAAATAATTGCAAATACATATTGACATTGTCCGAAATTCTCGTTAATATTCTGATTTTCACCTATTTATCTCGAAAATGTATTTCTAAAAACACACGTAACTCTTTCTAGACAAATTCAATCAAAAAGAGCGCGCTGAGATCTTTAGAGGAACACGTTCAAAGGTATGATATACTTTAATTTCCGAATGCGCGGTTTTCTAAAACACGTTTCTCAAGAGACAACTCAGTCTCATGTGGCTTTATTTCAGATATTTTTGTTTTTTAATATGACGTAGAATTTGTACAACCCAACTCTCCATCAGAAAAGGATAATAAGTGGTGGTAGTTATTTAGGAAATAGATAGACTAGATATTCTATCCCAGAGAAAGCATTATGGCTAAAAGTTCAAGAGATACCATTTGTGATAGCTTTTTTTTTTTTTTTTTTTATACTTTTTTGACGTTGGAAGTATTAGCTGCTTTCTTCGTTTCGTAAATTGATGTTTGTAATTTACCAGACCACAACATAACACCGAAAAAACTGGATTGGAAGTAATAGACGAACATGGATTCCGGGAAGAATTACAAAATGTATACATATTAAGTTATTGATTAAATACAATTATGTTATTATTTTGATTACATTATGTCATCTTTTGTTATTGTTAAATTGTCGATGTTTAGACATTGGGTATACAAAGATTTTTTATGTGTAAGCCCGTTTTTTTTTCTATGGGCGCTACGCCCCTTTTTGTGGAGTAATTTTACACCTTTTTGGGGATTGGTGGCATTTTTACCGAAAATGAATCTAACACCGGGTTCGGTGAATTTTTTTTATTAACTCATTCAATTCGGCGTCAGAATAATACAACAGAGGTCCCGGGTGAGATCCTTAGTGGAGACATTAACATATCAATTACCACGGTTACATACTTGCTGCAGTGAGCTACGAAATGTATATTGTGTCTCCATATGATGTTACCTGTTCGCTTACCTGTAGTCACGTACATGTGCGTGTACACACTCTGACATACCCTATACGCTACGTTCCATATAACATTATTTTTGAAATGACCCCTGTATTTACTTGTCTGGGTCTCTGTCTCTTTGCTCCGTGCTAGGTCTACCCCAAAATGAGAAAGGTCTAATTCCAGTACTCCATATACGAAGTGACCACAACTGGGGCGTTCAATTTCGGACAGTAACAAATGATGTGTATGGGAAAAATAGTGGGGAAAAAACCCAGAAGCTTTCCCCTCTTAACAGAATTTCTACGTCTTAATGAATAAGATTAACTTGTACTATTTATTACAATAACTGGATTAATTTCAAATTTGTGTATAATTTCCCTGTAACACTGATTTCAATTCAATTTTTGCATTATTTGTATTTGCACTGTGATGACGATATTGCCAATATTGTTCGGCATTCTGCATCGTCTTGCTTTACTATATGCAATATTTTGCGCGGTGTATGTAATTCTCAGTTCCGATAAGTTGAATTTGTTTGGCGATGAAATGACAGCCTTTTTTATTTTTATTTTTTTATTAAACATGTGCTTTTATCAGATTTGAATGAATATTGAGCAAATATGCATTCTAAACGTTTTGTGTTGTTTTAGATTCAACTATAAGGAACAACCATGGCTATTTTTAGGGCTATACGTATATACCAAATAACTGTGTGCACTTTTGTGTATACATCTTGGCATACACACACACAAACACACACACACACTCACACTCACACACACACACACACACACACACACATACTGTACTCATGTTATTTTTTTTGCATACAAACCAGGTTTTATTTGTTGTAAAATGATGGGATATTGATGGTTCATTGATGGAACATGGAATGTTGTACCACATTTCTTGACAGGCGATTCAGCAGACTTCACACGTAAATGCATATGACGCACCATGTGGCTGTATTTACTTTAGATGAATAGACACCACCATTGTGACAGCCGGGTATTGGACTGTGCCTACATATAGTTATATGTTCTAAACACGGCAAACACTGCTGTAGGTAATTAGCTGCACATGTTACCGGACGTTCGTGAATGCTATTTCGTGGTAAATGCGCAAACATCAGTCAACAGCAAAATGTTACTTCGGCGTAGGCCTAGTTGTAAGTTTACTGTAGCATCCTTACTGTGTTTAACGTTCCTGTATATGTTTTATCGTCAACATATGATTGGTAGTATCCACAAAATAGGATTTCATGGAGAGGTGAAAAGGTATGTATACTTTTCTCATTTGTGATTTTTAATTTTATTATAGCGTTTCTAAATCTGACCGAGAACATCTCTTGATATGAGACGGTTTTTCGAAAGGACTCTTATTCCTTGTATCGTTATCTTTTATTGAGTTCTGAATATGGCAACTTTATTTACCGGCTCAATACATGAAGATTCCTCCATGTTTTTTATGCAGAAATTTAGTTTTGAAATTTAATGTCTTTGAAGATCATTATGATTTCGAATCAAATGGAATATCTACGTATCTATTTATCATTCTTCCTCTTATTTTACTGACGTTCGTTAACTCAGGAAAATGCACTGTAGTCCGGGAGAAACGAAATGTTCAGTTTAAATTATTCAACAGTGAAAGAGGAATAGTACTTTGAATGGAAGTGTAGCAAAAGCTGTCGACTGGCTGCATTTTTTTCACCATCCTAACAAAACAACTCCTTTATGGAAATGATCTACAAGTTTCATACCTGTACATGTATGTATGAATGTATTATTATTATTATCAGTATGTTATTCAAAGCTTAACTAGACAAGAATCAACATTAACTTATAATACTCCTATTATCTACCTTTAATATAGATATTGACTGCGAGAACAAAACAAACTAATTCCGCAGAATGGATGTTTGTGTGTTTTTTCTTTCTTTCTAGCCACAACAGTACATTGCAGAGTCTGGAATACTGGCAATATTAACCCACTAATGCAACAACGTGTCGCAATACATTTAAATAACATTACGCTATACATGTAAGACTGACCGCCTCGGCTATTGGGCACATTAGTGTTCCCTATGTTATAAGACTAGATCTACCCTTCTCCAGTTCGTTGTAATTTAACCATGTCAAACAAATTTATACTTAGATGCCTGTTTCCTTGGTAAATAATTCATTTAGTTGATATCAATCTGCGTTAGGACCAAGTTGGACTAAACTCTCTGAACGGAATGCCTATGAATAAACTTCTAGTGTAATCATATCACATTTTTACCAGATAAAAAATATTATCAATTCAATTGTTTTTGGTGAAAAACTAGTCCATCCGGTCGATTCGGGTG